TTTTTTTTTTTTTTTTTTTTTATTTTATCCGGTGAAATTTTGCATAATGTATTCAAATTTTGATTTTCGGAATTTCCAAGACGTGTAATAGTTAAAGCCGGACACTCAGTTAAAAGTACCAAAGTCGGTATTCCCGCATGATACTCCTTAAATTCCGGGAATAATCGGCTTTGATTACGCAAAATTTGACCGAAAAAAATTGGGCGAGCACTCGCAGTGAATCACTCTGTATGTATACAAAGATAATTATTATATATATTATATATAATAATCACTTTGTAATCACTTCGACGTATCGGTCAACGGAGTATCGTCGACGAGCGACGGTACCGCGCGCGCGTGTTTAAATACCGACCCGCGCGGCCGTCGTGGTCGTCGGGTCGCGCGTCACGCCGCGTTTCTTAATCGGCTCCCAACAGGACCAGATCGTCGGCGACCACGTCGCTGATGTGCAAGTATATGATCCAGTACATGAGGTTGAAGCAGATGAAGCACACCGGGAACACGATCCGGGAGTACTTGTCGATGTCGCTGGGCGTGATGCCGTACAGTTTGTTGATGTCCTTGTTCGGGTGCATGATGTGTTGCGTGGCGATCGGCGTGATGTTGTCGTCGTCCCCGCGGCCGTTGATCGTGTTCTCCAGCGAGCCGCCTTTCAGATAGTTTTTCGGATCGTGGGCCTTGAAACGCACCTCCTGGAACAAACGGGAATCACTTACAAGGGGCACCGCGAGAACCCGATGGCGCGACACTGCCTTGGCGGCGGATGGGGGTGGTGATGGGAGGGGGGGGGGTTGGTTGACCCGGACGGCGATTCACGGGACGCGTAATTAATATTTGCGACACTTACGGTTTGCCGGGGCGTGTGGTCCAAGTCGCTGGCCATCAGCGGGCCCGCGTGACCCATGTGACCGTGCCGGTGGCTGCCGCCGACCCCGCCGTCGTAGCCGTGGCCGTGAGAGGCCAGCCCGTGGCCGGAAAGCCCGTGCGGCAGCGTGTTGTGCCCGGACATGGTGCCGTGACCCGACAGCGTACCGTGGCCCGACAGAGTGCTGTGGCCGGATATCGAACCGTGGCCGTGTCCGTGACGGGACGAATGGTGCGCGTGCGAGTGCGAGTGGACGTCGTGACCGCCCGCGTGACCTGTGACACCGTGAGTGCCGCCGCCGCCGCTGCCGCCGCCGCTGCCACCTTTTTTTTGTTCCGAGAGCTTTTGTATGGCTAAGAAACGGTTTTTTCGCATTTGTATCCGCTTGGCCATGTACCCCACGGTGGCGTATTCTGCGAAACCAACGGTAAACACATTCCGATCATGGCGTATAGGAAGATGACGGGTGGTAATAGCGACGGGCGGTGTTGGTGGTTATGGTGATAGTGGTGGTGGTGATGGTGGTGGTGGTCGCGATAGTAGTGGCGGTGGTCGCGATAGTAGTGGCGGTGGTGATGGCGGTGGTGGTCGCGGTGGTAGTGGCGGTGGTGGTGTAAATTATACGCTTTGATGTGCGGGGATTGGATTTATTCGCGACCTGGTAATTATTAGGTTAGGTTATGTAACACAAATAGAAACTTGATCAAAGGCGTACGCGATAAATAGAAGGCACTGCCCGCGAACGCGCCAAAAGTCCGGTGCACAAACGCACCGGCGGACGACGACGTGTGGTTTGTATACCCGGTAATTAGCCGGGCGCGGTCGTAGGGCCGGTCACATTATAATTTATGACATACTGACCGCTCTTGTAAAAAATGCTTTTTGAAGGTATTCGAGTACCAACAGACGTGCGTACTTATTTCATAAAGTATATATTTTAAAATACGTATTTGAACGCTCAGTAAAGAAAAGTATTCGAGTATGAATACGCGTAGTTATTTCGAAAAATTGTTTACAGACACTTTCAAACGCTATCGAATTTTTAAACGACATTCTTTTCTAGTCTTTTGTGTTTTAGGTTAATTTTATCGATCGTTTAACACGGTTTAGGGGTTAGAAATAACTACAATAATTATGATTGTATACGCTACTAATCTGTTTCCCTTAACAAGTTATTTGAGTTTTCAATTCGGTCGAGTCACACGTGTCTGGGGAATTAAAAATTAGAAATGTACGAACCGAGTAGAAAATATATTTGAAAATCGGTTTTTGATTTTGAATACTTATACTTTAAGAAATTATTTAAAATACTTTTTCGCGAAATTTTTTCCAAGGTATTTAAAATACGTAATTGAGTAATTAAAAACGTATTTTAATCATTTTACTTCAGTACTTTCCAACACTAATGTTACTAACCCAAAAGCGAAGCGAATACCATGACGAAACACGTGCCCAGATACACGTCGATGGACTTGACGTACGATATTTTTGGCAGTGCAGCGTTTGTGGATGACATGAGAGTGGTCATGGTCAACACGGTGGTGACGCCCAGCGATACTCGGGCAGGCGTCGCGCACCTATTCAGCCAAAAGCTCACCCAAGATATGATTACGATCAGCCCGCTAGGTATGTAGATCTGGATCAAGTAGTAACCCATTGACCTGACGAATTGGATTTCGCAAGCCAATCTCGAATAGTTGCCTGAAACAGATAATATTACGTATTGTATTATGATTTAGAAGATGAACTACGAGAACAATCTGCACGTTGAGAAAAACAAACGATCATAGATGCTAGCTAAAATAAATGAAATCGAGGAGATCACACAAAAAAGTATACAGGAAAAGTAACATTATCTCACAATATTTTCGTATCGTGTACATTTATTTCCTTTTGTCTTATTCGGTTTCACTGTTCACAATTGCCCAGAACAACTTACCTCCTCACTCACCCCCGCCTCAGTATACTACAGTTCAGTATCAACATTGTATCGAGCTCTTAAATTAAAAACGCGTTTTATTATGCGCACTTCAGACCGAGTGGCAAAACGTTTGCGTACCTGTGGTCAGGCTTATTTCCATTGCTCTTTGCCGATGTCCGAGCACTTTGAATTGCGGCAAAGACACTTCGTTCGAAACGCCCACCGAATTCGGTCCCTTGTTCCATTTATACCGGATATCCCTCATCGTATAGCCGACTGCGGAAAATCAAATATTCCATTATGTTCAATACTTTTGAGCGACAAATGTATTTTACACGAATTAATTAATTTTTGGTCAGTTCGATTCGACTAAATAATACGGGCATATTAGTACAACTTTGATACGTCGAATTCAATTAAAAATAATCGGATATTAAAGTATGCACTTACAGCTCTCGATCTCAATGTGACACAATTGTCGGTCCATCGGAAAATACTGCAAGTTCATGGGACATGACGCGGTGATGGTCAAACTGTAGACAAAATCTATTTAATAAAAAAAAATGGTATATTGACGTGCGACTTACCGGATACTCCGAGTAATGCTTCCTGAATGATGTATCCTAATGAACTCGTTGCTGGTCGTCGCTATGTGAAAGTACGACTGTTTCTCATTCACGAAGAACGTGTCGGGTACCCAAATGTTTTTGATGAATTCCGATCCCACAGACAGCGTTTCCACTCCCGGACGTTTCGTGAAAGCCAACCGGGGATCGGTCCAGAATTGCCGAAAGTAAAAGTCCAGCGTAAAGTCCTGGAAACAGGGCGACAGACACGTGGCGTGATAAATGGGCGTACCGTGATTATTCACAGGAGGCCGGACCGAACGTATTAGAGGTATATTATGTACGCTTCAAAAAACCCTCGGTAATTCGCCGAGTGGGGGGAGGAGGGGCATTTTATTTACACGGGTATTTCGTCATTGTGATGAAACCGGTTTTCTCGGGGTAGAATGCTAAGGAGGCATCGATTAGCAGTGGCGTGCGCATGGGAAGGGAAGTTGAGGGTTACACCTCCTCATTGGCTTAAAAGTACAACGACTATGAGTGTCTTTTTAGTAATTTAATCTTAAGTACTTGTGTATATTTAAACCGCGAGAAAAAGCTTGATTTGTTGAATACAATTATTGCTTTTTGAAACCATGTTTTAAATTGCCGTTTTCGGGTTGGGCGTAGGAGTTTTTATAATTTATTCACGGGTATCGTTTACCATTATGTACTTGTTAATGTTATTAATTCCTGAGCACGCCACCGTCGATAAATGCCGTGACGGATTTCACCGCGAGTTTTTTGACAAAAATATATTCGATCGCCGGACCATCCGAACTAATATGTATACGACTTCGCTCAGTGGCGGCTATCCTGGTATGGCCTGAGTGTTGCTTCAGGAACGTATACAATATTTGCTGGTCGGTGGGTAGACGAGTGGAGTGTTTCGGTAACACGAGTTGACGATATCCGCTTTATTTAATTTGAAAACACATGACGGGGTTAATATTTTCGTCCAGTTTTTATGTTTTCTGGCTTTTTCAAAATATCACTTTCAATAACCTTACGAAGAAGGGCCTTGAGGAAATATCCCCTGCAACACTTTGGACAGCCGCCACTGATTTTACTACATATACATAAATGTTACATATTCTATAAGAAAAAAAAAAGGTATGTGTGTGTGTGTGTGTGTGTGTGTGTGAGTATGATGTGTATGTGTGTGTATGCATAAAAAAAAAAAATA